CTGGCATGCGTGCGGCCTGGGTTCGATCCTCAGCACCACATACCAACAAAGATGTTGTGTCTGCTGAGAACTAAAAAATAAATATTAAAAATTCTCTCTCTCTCTCTTTCCCTCTCACTCTCTAAAAAAAAAAAAAAAAAAAAGAATGACAACAGGAAACAAAAGCTTTCCCTTTATTCACCTATTTGTATTTAAGTGAAAAGTGTGTGTGTGTGTGTGTGTGTGTGTTTTATTTTTGTTTGTTTGTTTGAAATAGAGTCTTGCTGTGTTGCCCAAGCTGCTCTTGAACTCTTGGGCTCAAGTGATTCTTCCAAGTAGCTAGGATTATAGGCATGTGCCACCATGCCTAGTAGTCGTATGCTATTTTCATAATAGAGAAGAAATAAAAAGAAATGTTCCCTCTGTAATCTAATGTCCATCCTATCTTTTTATCAATTCCCCATCACACTTGGCTAAATCTCTTGTTTCCTTCAGTGATCCCAGTCCCTACCCACTGGAATATGCCTTGTAACTACCCTCTAGCTTGCCTTCGCTCTGACATGAAGCTACCTAGAGGAACTTTAATCCCATTAGAATTCTGCTCATCTCTCTATCTCTGGGTCTTTTCCACCCTACAGGCCACTATCATCCTGGATGCTATGAACCTGGAGCTCCAAAGCAAAGCAAATACTTGGGTGTGTGGGGGTAGGAGGTGTGGGTGGGTGGGTGTGCACATGCACACACACTGGGGACTAAACCCCAGGCCTGTGAGTAAAAGCAGGCATCGCTGTGGCACCCATTGCGACCTCACTGTGCACCCTCCTCACAGGTACTGCTGTGTACTCCTTCTCTCTAGATGCCACAATGGCTGGTACAGGGCCCAGGCACAGCAGGTGTAATAAGCAGGTTAGCCTTGGCTACCTCAGGGTACTAAAATTCTAAATTCAAGATTTAATTATATTCATTATATTCACTCAATTATTCTAAGGCAAACAAACAAACACATGTTCAATGGCTTTTTGGCAACAAAAGGAATTTCTATTCAAACCAAATTTACTCTAGAGTTCTACTAGAGTTGAACCAAATCAACTCACTTCTGGCATTTTCTTGTTACTTAAGGTTTTACTCTCTGATATTTGACTTTACTGGCACTGAAAGGTCATTCATTTAAAAGCAAGCATATAACACACTTCACATACGAGATTAAAATGAGCAGTGAAGTTCTGCTGAGACATGAGGCTTTATAACTCTTCAGTCACTAAATATTTTTACTTCTAACAAGAAGTATGCAATTGGATAAAATTTTAGTCTCCTTTTCTGTTAACAAACCCTTTATTCAAAGTTTTTACAAAATATCTGAAAGTAATATACACTTGGGTCTTTGGTGTTTCATTTTATTCTTAGGCTTAATCCTCTTACTGTAAGGACAAATCCCATGCTAATAATCAAGTCCTTTGTATTGTTTCATGAAAGCTTAGTTGAGATTGTTTCCTTTCATTAGGAAAGGAAAAAACCAAGACTGCTGTTGCCTCCTACCCCTAAGTCACCATCCATTCCGTGATATTACTGATCACTCTAGAATTCATTGCCCATAAAGTATTGATCATGGCCAATCTGGGATGGTCTTCTAGAGAAAGCTGTTCACATTAAGACCAAGGCCTCCGGGGCTGAAGGTGTGGCTCAGTGGTACAGCATTTGCCTAGAAGGCATGAAGCTCTAGGTTTAATCCCTCTCACTATAACAAACAAAAAAACCCCACAAGGTCTAAGCTTAATATAGTCTGACAAACTTTTTTATATGAAAGTCATCCACTATACCATTCACGTATGGACAGTCTTTTATGGTCTCAGCAGTGCCAGAAATTTTATGGGAAAGTTATGGCTTGGGAGTCTTGCTGGAAGGAAGGACACCAGACCACTGGGCCTGTAGCCACATTTGCACAGTAAGCATGCTGACCTTACTTAGACCATACATTATGAAACTGTAAAAATAGACAATTTTAGTATAGAAACTGTTATTCACAGTTGACATGAAATTGATTTTATTTATTATCATTTGGGAGTAAATTACTAGGGAGTCGCTAATAAAAATGACAGTTAGATTAAATACCCTCTATCAGTACCTCCTCAGCCACCCCTTGGCTCTACAACCAGGGACAGATCACTGCAAGATGCCAGGATGTTTCTGGATTTGTGATAGGTGCCTTCCTGTAGTGAAGCTCAGCCAGGATGTACCATCATTCTACCAAGATACCAAGCAGCCCTGGCTAGAGTAAAGGCTGCCAAGCGGGCAGGCACAAGGTCATAAACTAGGAAAGTTAAATTTCTCTTCAAACAACTTTCTCCTAAATTCCTAATGGAAATTAATGAGAAAATGGAGGTGAAAATAAGGAACAGCTGTGAAGGGCAGCCATCAGCCTGCTGGGGTGGGTTACACAGATTCTAACACAGTTGAAGATGGGGGGCACCCCTACAGGAGAGTGGCGCATCCCAGTGTCTTCACAGAGAAGCAGCAGGAACCCAGCAAAGCCACAGAAAGGTCAGTTAGTCATAGAGATTCACTTGTCCCAGTTGTGACCGGGTCACTATAATCTCAATCAGAATTTTTGGACTGAACTTTAAAGGTAATGACTGTCTGTTCATTACCTGTCCCTCCGTTTTGTTCTTAACTCTCTCAGCAAACACACACACACACACACACACACACCCCTTTCCCAGTATTTCCCGGATCACCCAGGATTCACTGGCTCAAATCAACCAAATGAAATACCAGTAAAGAATATTCAGGGGCATAAACAATATCGGTGGCTGGGGTAGAGGCCATGGGGTAGAGGAAGATATACATGGGCATTGGTTCTGAACAGGGCCTGCTGCTCTGTTGCCTTTCCAAGTATAAACTTTTTTTTTTTTTTTTTTTAAAGAGAGTGAGAGAGGAGAGAGAGAGAGAGAGAGAGAGAGAGAGAGAGAGAGAGAGAGAGAGAGAGAGAATTTTTAATATTTATTTTTCAGTTCTCGGCGGACACAACATCTTTGTTGGTATGTGGTGCTGAGGATCGAACCCAGGTCGCATGCATACCAGGCGAGCACGCTACCGCTTGAGCCACATCCCCAGCCCCCCAAGTATAAACTTAAAAGTAGCAATGTGACTTGCAAATGAGATCCAGTCTAATGGGGAGAGAATGCTTAGTGAGACTGATTCTCAGCAGACAGAGGCAGGTTTTATCTACCTGTTTTCTTGTTTTCCACACACTCACCGGGCAAGTTTGCTGAGGCCAAGGACTTGCTTGTTAGGAAGATAACCGATATGGACCTTCAGGGGAGAGACAAATCGTGAGCTAAGTGAACATATAGCACTGCTTTCTGACAAAATACAGACATAGAAAATATAGTATAATGGCATGCAAAGTCATCACAATGACAGTGTAACTTTAAAACATTAGAAGATTTAAGACTTTTTAAAAAGTATAGCTGTGATATTCTCTGGTAATTTTTTATTCAAATCTGAAATTTTTTTCTCAGGAAAAGGTAAATGACCCTGTAGCAACAACACAATGTAACCAGGAAAGACTCCTTTATATAAAAATGTTGCCATTCCCCAGGGCACTGTAGCCTTAAGATTTCCACCACAGAGCCAGGTAATCTCAGCAATTTGAGAGGCTGAGGCAGGAAGAACAAGTTTGAGGCCAGCCTGAGAAACTTAGTGAGACCTTGTCTCAAAATTAAAAAAATAAAAAGGGCTAGGAATATGGCTGGGGTTGTGGCTCATACTAGTCAAATATAAATCAATTAGACAAATATAAACATTACAGACACATCTGCATCATGATGCCAACATAAAACAGTTTTCATTCATTCACCTAATATTTATTATACACTTGTACAATTGATCTAGTAATAGTACTTAGTGGGGTTTTTTTTGTTGTTGTTGTTTTGTGTGTTTATTTTTTTTAATCTATTAGTACTATGCTTGAAGATTTTGAGATTCCACTTCACTGCCTTCCTGGTATGCAGGAAGAGAAAGTCAAAGAGCACCTGAACGCTGGGTGCTACAAAGAAAAAGAACTGTCCCATAGGGGCTGGGTGTGGGGGTGTATACCTATATTCCCCGCAGCTCAGGAGGCTGAGGCAGGAGAGTTGCAAGTTCAAAGTCAGCCTCAGGGGCTAGGGCTGGGGCTGAGTGGTAGAGCACTTGCCGAATTTGTGTGAGGCACTGGGTCCAATTCTCAGCACCATATAAAAATAAGGTCCATCAGCAACTTAAAAAATAAATAAATAAAATCAGACTCAACAACTTAGTCCCTAAGCAACTTAGCAAGGCTCTGTCTCAAAATAAAAATATAAAACCAGCTGGGGATGTGGCTCAGTAGTTAGCATCTCTGGGTTCAGTCCCTAGTACCCACCCCTCAAAAAGTAAGAATTGTCCCATCCAATCAATGTCTCGGTACTGCTTGAATTTGTATGCTTATCTGCAGTGCTAGAGTACACTTCTAGTTTGTGTGATTTTTGGTCTTCCTTCAGATTCTAAATCATTTAAATGTCCACTTCAGAAAATCATCACTAAATCATATAGCTAAAAAAGTTAGCAAGCACACAAATAGAAGGGAACAGCCACAGTGGTGAGAAGCTAAGTACAGGATTGAGCTCCTTGACCTTGGCCCCACAAGGCTACTAACTCTCTAGATCCTCCTGAACAAGAGTTTAATTATCTCACCTACAATAAAAGACAGAAATAAACTCAAAGGTTCCCTCATTTAACTGTAGATCATAAGATACCGCGTGCCTCCTGACATGATAGAATATGAAGTTCTCAGCATTCCTGGGAACTACTTCTATTTGAAATGTTCAGTCTTAATATTATTAAACTTTAGATCTGGTTTATAGGAAATCCAGAGGTTGAGCGGAACACAGAAGGTGAATCACTACAGAAGACCCAATCTGGTCTCTTCAATGGGAGAATGGGGGAGGGTGTATTTTGGAATAAAAGACTTAATAAGATATAACCAAATGCAATGTAAATACAAATATGACTCTTAACTGTATTCTTATTTAAATAAGCCAACAGCAAAGCCTGTGAGTCAACTGGAGAAATTTATTTGGGTTAGCTATTAGATGCTACTTAGGAGTTACTGTTGATTTTGTTTGTTGTCATGCTACTATAGATAAGATACATATTAACTGCTAGTGTGGGTTAACTTCTAGTGTGGGTAAGTATTTTAGAAATGCCAGTTAATAATTAGTGATGAAAAGTCATGCTGTCTATAACAGACTTTGTATTCTTCAATGTGTTTATGAACTTATTGCTGTCTTGTTACACGTGGTAATCAAATTGGGTTTTCTTTAAAAAAAAAAATCCTTGTCTTTTATAGAGACACACTGGAAGAAATCATGGGAGGTATAATGAATATCTGGGCTTTGTTCCAATATAGTGCAGTGGGGACCTTTATTTAATATGATTGTTCTGTGTTGATATCTGTTGAAACTGGTTGATGAGAACTGGAACTTATTCTACTAGTCTTTCTCATTATGTATGTTTGAAATTTTCCATGATAAAAATTTTTTTTTTTAGAAGAGCAAGAGACTGATACCATTACATACAATCCTGAAAGTACCAAGTATTGGCAAGAATATGAAACAGTGAGAACTCCCATAGACTTCTGAGAGTGTAAATTGGCACAACCACTTTGGAGAGCTATAAGTCAGCACTCGGTAAGCTGAACATGGGTATACCCTGTGAAACTGATTCCACCTCTAGATACATTCCTAGCAGAAATGCATGAATATATGCAACAAGAAAAATCTGATAGCAGTGTTGTTTGAGCAAGAAAAGAAAAAAAGTGGAGACATGTAAATAACTACCCAGAGAAGAACAGAATAAATTGTGGTGTGTTCATACAATGCAATAATATATAACAATGGAAATAAACTACAATCACAGGCAAAAATATCAATGAATCTTTCAATGTAGAACAAAGGAAACCAGACTCAAAAGAGGACATATTACAGATTCTTTTCACTTATATATTACTGAAAAATAAGCAAAATTAATCTATAGTGTTGGAAATTGATATGCTGGTTACCTGTGGAGATCAGAGATGGGGTAAGGCTTAAGAAGGAACAGGAGGTAAGCTTTTTCAGGATGCTAATCCTGAAATCATGTTCTAGCTCTTAATCTGTGAGATGGTTAAAAAAAATACCCTTGTGATTTATGCATTTTTCTAAGTTTTACTTCTATTTATAAAAGTGAAAAAAATAAAATACTTTAATAAGAAAAAAGAAGCAAATGTTAAATCTTATTAAATTTCAGTAATGGCTATTTAGGTATTCATAACACTATTTCCTATGAGCCTTCTGTTTGAAAAGCATTAATGAAAAGCCAAAATTAAATAATTATTGGGTAGGATGAACAGGACAACTCTTTGTTCTAAAGCCACATGTTCTCAAAGTATTTATTGTATGTACAAATGTATTTTTTTGTGATACTGGGGATTAAATCCAGAAATGCCCTACCACAGAGCTACATCTCCAGTTCTTATTTCTTTCTTTTTTAAAATATTTTTTAAATTATTGATAGACCTTTATTTATTTATATGTGGTGCTTAGAATTGAACCCAGTGCCTCACACATACCAGGTAAGTGTGCTACCGCTGAGCCACAGCCACAGCCACTCCAGTTCTTATTTCTTAAGACAAGGTTTCACTAAGTCATCCAGAATTGTCTCAAAGTTATAGTTCTCTTTTTTTTGTTCGTTTGTTCTTTTTAGACATACCTGACAGTAGAGTGTATATTTTGACATATTATATATACATGGAATAGAGCTTATTCTAATTAGAATCCTATTCTTATGGTTATACATAATGTACAATTGCAGTGGTCACATATTCATGTATGAGAATAGTAAAATTATATCTGATTCATTCTACTGTCTTTCCCATCCCTATTCCTTTGCTATGATTTAGATGTGGTGTCCCTCAAAAGTTCACATGTGAGATAATGTAAGGTTTGGAGGGGAAATGATTGGGTCATAGCCTTAATCTAATCAGTGGATTTCTTCCTGGTGGGATTAACAAAGTAATAACTGGAGGCATTGGTTCATTGGGGATAAGGACATGGAGTATATATTTTGTATCTGGAGAGTGGAATCAGAGTCTCTCTCTCTCTCTCTCTCTCTCTCTCTCTCTCTCTCTCTCTCTCTCCCTCCTCTCTCCCCTCTCTCCCCCCCCCTCTCTTTATCATCTTGTGAGCTGCTTCTGCCACACTCTTCATGATGTTCTGCCACACCTCTAGACCCAAGGAATGGAGCCTGCTGTCTGCAGACTTGAGACCCGTGAAACTGAAAGCCCTTAAATAAAAGTTTTCCTCCTCTACAATTGTTCTGGTTGGATCCTTTTAGGCACAGCAGTGAAAAAGCTGACTAAAACATCCCTTCTTCTTTCCTTTTTGTCTAATTCAATAACCTGCTATTCCCCCCTCCGGCTCCTCACTGTGTGTTAGCATCCATATATCAGAAAGTAAGTTTGGCCTTTGGTTTTTTGGGATTGGCTTATTTCACTTAGCATGATAGTCTCCAGTTCCATCTGGCAAATGCCGTAATTCTATTCTTTTTTATGGCTAATATTCCATTGTGTATATGTACCACATTGTCTTTAACCATTCATCTGTTGAAGGACACCTAGGTTGGTTCCATAGTTTAGCTATTGTGAATTGAGCTGCTATAAACATTGATGTGGCTGTGTCCCTGTAGTATGCTGATTTTAAGTTCTTTGGGTATATACTGAGGAGTGGGATAACTGGGTCAAATGGCAGTTCCATTCAAAGTTTTCTAAGGAATCTCCATACTGCTTTCCAGAGTGGTTGTACTAATTTGTTGTCCCACAAGCAATGTATGAGTGGGCCTTTTTCTTCACATCCTCTCAAATGTTTATTGTTACTTGTATTCTTGATAATGGCCCTTGTGACTGAAGTGAGATGGAATCTCAGTGTCGTTTTAATTTGAATTTCTGTAATTGCTAGAAATGTTAAACATTTTTTCATATATTTGTTGACCATTCATATTTCTTCTTCTTTGAAATGCAGGTTCAGCTCCTTGCCCACTTATTAACTGGGTTATTTGTTTTGTTTTTGTTTGATGTTAAGTTTTTTGAGTCGAACTTGCAATTCTTCTGCCTTAGCCTCACATCAAATTTATTTTTAACTACAACAAACTAGGTGATATATCATCTAGCTGACATTTAGATTCTTTTTTTTTTTTATAGAAAGGGTTGGAAATAAATTAAAGCCACTAATACCATAACTTCTGTCCCTGGAAATTCTGTAATCACTACTGCTCACATCATGCCATATATCAGGCATATCTTGGATCAAAGAATATTCAGTCAACATAAAGGGCAAAGGTTTTCAGAGCTTGCAGCATCTACCAAGAAAAAAAGATGCTGCTGCTTTAACCTTATTCTCTTCACCTATTAACATGGTATTTAATATAAAATTTGGCCTGAGGGCCAGCTGCTACATTGTTTTTAATTTCAGGCTATTACATCAATCAGGTTGATAAAGAGTAAACATTTATGTGCAACTATAAATATCTAGGATATGAAGAATTAGCAACTGACAATTTTAAATACAATATCATAATTTTAAAACTTTCATTAGGCTTTTTAAAATGTCAAGAAATAAGGAAAACCTTACCTTTCCCACAAATGGAACTAGATGATGTTCACACATGGAAAACATATCTATGTCCTTCACAATCACCATCTCATCATGATCTTCATCAAATATAGCATCATTCAGGACATCTGAAATCAGAAGCTTGCCTTAGTAATGCTTACCATTCCACAGCAAAGCACAAAATAGAAAAGCCACCATGATCAATACAAAAAGACAGTAAATATAAATTAAGCCCCCCAAGTATTCAATTCTGTGAATATTTCAATGAAACTGACATGGGTACATTAAAAATATGTTAGAAATGTAACCTAGAGCATGTTATGTTAATTAATATTATTATTATTATATTATCATTATATTTTATATAAACATAGTATATATGTTATAATCTATATTTAAGTTTTTATAGGTGTTCCTCACCTGCAATGTGGATCAAAATGGGCTAAAAAGTATGTTATCCTCCCTAAAACATTAAGGACATACAAATTAAAACCAGTTAATTTTATCTATCAAATTACCAAAGTCTTTCTCTTTAAATGATATTTAAAAATCATTAATACAATGTTATATAAGAAATGCAGAACTGCAAATTTATCTGTAGTATGAGAAAAAAAGGAGGGAGGGAGAAATTAGGAAAGGAAGGAAAGAGAAATTATGCCAAATAAAATCAAAGTGGCTATTTTCTTGTGTAGAAATGGGTCACTTTCACTCTATTTTTTTTTACCTTTTTTATACTTAATATTTCCTCTATAATGGATAGGTAGATAATCATGAGTTAAAGACGAATCTTTAGCATTCTGACTTCTAAGGCCAGAACCATACGCTTGTAAACCTGGCTGCTATTACCAATTCCTGAAATAATTTTCTATATTTCTAAAGTCTCCCAGTTACTGTAGATGAGTATAAGACTAATTCTAATCGTTACCTTTCTTAGATCTTTCGGTTTGTGTGCCTGTGCCTCTCTGGGGAGGCTTTAGGGATGAGTGATAAACTGTGAACCTGGCACAGGTGGCCAAGCCTACTGCAGACATCTAAAAACCGTTTTTATTTTTTAAAAACTGCACCAAGTGAGCCTCACTATCTCATCTGCAAAACAGAAGGTTACCTAGGGGATGCACAAGGGACCTTTGAGCTCTCCACCATTCTGTGACTGTTAAGAACATCCTGTCCTGGATGTTGAAGAGGAACAAAGGGATACAAGCCACCATCCTCACCACTGCAGTATCACCCTGGTTTTGATAATAGTATAGGTACCTGATTGATGGTGTAGGTGAATGCCTGTAATATGGAAAATTCCTCGGCTCTATCATCAACTGAGAAAAGAAGCTAAAAGATGGACCGTTATCATCTCACTTTTATAAAGTAAACATATACTTTATGGAAACGGCACTGACATCTAGGCACTGATGCCTAGTTGTACGGTTTCAAGGCTTTGGGGGATACCCACGCTACATAGTACAATTAGACACAAGGGAGGAGGTGAATACAGCCTACAGCCACCTACAGCCACCACTTTCCCTCAGGCAGGCTGCCAAGTGAGTCACAGGGAAGATGTGCAAACGTCCACCCACACTCCTGACCTTCAATGGCTCAGCTGCTCCTAGAATAGGGGCTCAGAGATACTGAGTCATCATGTAAACCAGTTATCATCCCCTGAGTCAGGCTATTCAGAATCGCACTAGAGTGTGTGGTAGGGAAAGTCATTAGCGTGGTCCATGAAAGTGAATGTGTGGGCTTTAAACACCCACAGACACTCCTGTTCGAAGTGGCTAATAAACTCCAGGGAGGAAAAAGCTCACAGTCCTTTGTTAAGTAAATATTCCTTCTCCAAAAGCAGTTTTTCTATACTGAATATTCTGTCCTAATCTTTAGTCATATTTCTGAAAGGAGTCCAAAAATAGCCCCTTAGTGTTCCGAGAAGCATCCTGGATTTCTCCAAGAGTTTAACATAATGTTATTGCCATGTATAAAACTTCCTAAAATCTTTAGTCACAAAGGAAATATTCCTGAAAGTAAAAACAAATAAAAAATTATTTCTTGAAGAGAATCATCATCTAATGTCAGACACATTCATTTTCTCTGGCAAAGAAATTCCCCATTGTAAGCTCTGATGACAACCATATGGTGTATATGAAAGCCAGCCTTTCAGCTAGGCTAAGTGAGGATCTTCACTTGCTAGCTGTTGGACCTTGGGCAAGGCATTTGTTGCCTTACTCTTCTTGGCAGTAAAACAGCCATGAATAAGAGCAGATCTTTCAGAGGTATTGTCAGGATTAAATGTGTTCACAGCTAAGTAAGAGATGTGGTAGTTACTACTCTTTTAATGAAGACTGGCAGCTAGACATGGTGGTGCACACCATGTAATCCCAGCTGCTCGAGAGCAGAGGTAGGAGAATCAAAAGTTCAAAGCAGCTTCAGCAATAGTGAGGAGGCCCTGAGCAATTTAACAAGACCCTGTCTCTAAATAAAATACAAAATGGGCTGGGGATGTGGCTCAGTAATTAAGTGGCCCTGAGTTCAATCCCCGGTAATAAAAGACAGACAGAACTGCTAAGCTATGTGTGGGACACATGGGTGTACACTGATAAATATCAGAAGTTAAAAAGCAATAAGTTGCTTATAACAGAATACAGGAAATGAACAGTAGTAACTTTACAGTGGAAAAGTCTGGCCAATGCTACCTGAACTAAGTGATCAAAATTAACTTTGCCAGCAGTAAGACATAATAAATTGGATGCAGTGGCACACACCTGTAATCCCAGCAGCGAGGGAGGTCGAGACAGGAGGAGACAGGAGTTCAAAGCCAGCCTCAGCAATAGTGAGGCACTAAGCAACTCAGTGAGACCCTGTCTCTAAATAAAATACAAAAGAGGGCTGGGGGTGTGGCTCAGTGGTCAAGAGCCCCCCCCAGTTCAATCTCTGGTACCCTCCCCCCACCAAAAAAAAGACATAATGGTATTGTATAGCTCCAGATTTGATATAATGAGAAGGGCACATGGCCTCTGTGGTAGTCTTCCTCAAAATTTAAAACTGTAGTACAATCAGAGCTACCCAGGAGGCTGAGCCAAGAGGATCATAGGTCCCAGGCCAATCTGGGCAACTTAGTAAGACCCTGTCTCAAAAAATAAAAAGGGCTGGGGATATAGCTCAGTGTTAGAGCATCCCCTGGATTCAATCCCCAGTATAGGGGAAACAAAAACAAACAAACAAAAAAAAGCACAGAGGTCACAAAAGAAAAGGAAAAACTGAGAAACTATCAACTGAAGAAGAGTAGAGAAATAACTATATGCAATGGAAATAAATTCAAGTAAAATCTGTAGTTTAGTGAATAGTATTGTACTCATATTAATTTCTCAAGTGTCAATGATTGTACCCATGCCAGATGTTTCTTGGGGAAGCTGGGGGAAGAGCATATGAAAACTCTATACTATCTTCATAATTACTAAGTAATAAAAAAAAGGAAAAGGACAATATCCATCAACTGAAATGTATAAAAATGGAGTACTACTCAGAGCAGTACAGAATGAACTATGAACATATAATAACATGTTTGAACCTCCAAAATATCAACTAAGTGAAATAAGCCATATATGTTTATAGATACACGTGTACACACATGCACACAGAAAAGATGACTGTCATGCATGTAGTATAATCAACAAGGATAGATCACATATACAATGGAGGTCTCATGAAATTCTACCTCCTAGTAATGTAGTGATCTTAGTTTGTGTAAGTACAATCTGTGATGTTTGCACAACGTCAAAATCACCTAGCACAACACATGAAACTCAGAAAGGCAACAGTGCAGTGATAAAAAGCAAACAGGTGGCTCACCATGGGCCAGAGAAATGGGAGAGAGGATTTGGCTGCAATAAGGTAGGAAGAAAGTTGTTTTTTGGGTGACAGAACTGTCAAAATTCACTTTGTACATGCAGAGCTGGTGAATATTTCTGAATGTTAACTATACCTGAATAAAGCCAATTTTAGAATATTTTTTCAATTATAATACAGTACCTAACCTTTTGTGTGAAGTAAAGTGGAAAAGAGAGAATAAACATATACACAAGTATTTATCTGCAAAAAGAAACAATGGGCCAGGCACAGTGGTGCACACCTGTAATCCCAGACACTTGGGAGGCTGAAGCAGGAGGATCCCAAGTTTGAGGCCAGCCTTAACAACTTATAGAGATCCTGTCTCAAAAAATAAAAAGGTTTGGGGATGTAGCTCAGTGATAGAGCACCCCTGGGTTCAAACCCCAGCACCCCTCCACACACATACACCACATGCGCACACACACACACACACAAAAAAAAAAATACTGCAAGGATAAATGAAAAAGCTACTAAAAATGATTACCTATAAAGAACTACGAGAAAGGAGAGAAGAGATGTGGGTGGAAATGAGACATCTCTGAATATAATTTGCTGTTTGTCTTTGAACTCCTTTAAATGTTTACATACTCAAGTACATTACACCAATAACATAGCCTCATATGGCTTAATTCTTTGTGTGGTAATGAAATACTAATATGTTGCCTATATCCCATTTCATTAAAATGAATGTAGACTATAAACTTGACCTAGCCAAATCATTTTTCTTCAATAATGAAGTTTCCCAGCTATATTTACTTGTGTTTTGCTCCAACATATCTGAAAGCTACCATCTGTGGATAATAAGAACAAAACACTATCACAGATTGTTTTAATTTCCTGCCTGTTATCAGCAGCAAGAAGGTAACCCTGGAAACGAGGATTTACGGCATTCTATTTCCTACTGTTGGTCATAACCACAAAGGAGACCAAAGCAGCCTCCAAAATTTACAGGTTTGTCTATAAGGTCAGCACACAACCTCGGTCTTAAGGTACACCTTTCTCATGCCAGTAACAATTAAGCAATGGCAGCAAATAGCACTGCTGAACAACTATCCCTCGGGGAGGCAATCTGCTGGGGGGACCCCTTCCTGAAAGTGCAGTAAGACAGGTCTAAACACCTCTGAAGCATGGTTTCTTAGACTCTTCCAGTGAGTGTGTTAAAACAAATTGCTGGCCTCACACCCAGAGTCTCTGTTTCAGCAGGGCTGGTGAGCCTGGGAATCTGCATTTCTTTTTATTTTCTTGAGAGAGA